CCTTGGGGATGGGTCGTGAAACCTGGGGATGGGTCGTTCAACCTTGGCGATGGGTCGTTCAACCGTGGGGATGGGTCGTTCAACCGTGGGGATGGGTCGTTCAACCTTGGGGACTGCGACCACTGCGAGAAAAAGACGACCCGTCCGCCGCAAAAGCCCTCAAAAGCTCTATCTTCCACTCATGTTGGGTGCTTGATTGTAATATGTATATACCTGGATCTCCTAACTAGGCCAATGTTCTGCCGAACTGGGCTGCTTTTTTCAGATGAAAAGGCGGAAATTTGTCTCAGTTGGAAGATCCAGGTACCATTATAATACAAAACATGTGAAGTGCCAAGCGTGCAACTACCCAGTGACATGACCGGTGTCGCGAAAGAAACCACGACCCCAAACCAGCCCGGGACAGATAGCGTTGGGCCACCCGTCTCAACGCGTTTGTCACGCCGGGACCTTCGATTTTGGGCTCGGTCTTCGCTCGGCCTCGAGGAGATGAGGAGCAGAGAAAAGCGGCAAAAGAAACAGCTGTACCAGTTAGACCGACTCCCGTTGAAGTCCAGTTCGACTATATCAGGAACCGACTGAAGGTTTTCAGGAAACTCCTTGTTCCTCCGGTCACTGACCTCGTCAGACAAGCCTCGTTCGCCTTTGACTCGCAGCGGACCCACCAACTGCTACAAGAAGCCGAAAGCCGGCTTTTGCGCCTTGTGAGAGATGAACAAATGACCCGGTCGTCTCAGTGAAAAGGTCTGCATCCAGCACTTCCCTTCCTCCTTCCGCAAAAAAAAACAGATTTGTGTGTATTTTACTCTAGAGGATGGGTCCATCCCCTGGTTTTTCGCGGCTGGTTATGACTGGTCGATGTTCCAAAGACCGAGATCGTTGCCTGGGAGGTCTCCCTTCCATCTACACACCCTCCCTCCCTGTCTCTCCATGTCTCTCCCACCTCGGCCTTTGCCTCGGCCCTTCATGGCCTCAGGTTCCGAAGAGAGAGAACGGCCCACGTGTGACACCGATGTCACACAAGAGGACACGAGGAGGAGATGTCACACGATGGTGTCCAGTGCAGATGTTTGAAGTGAACCGGAGATTTGGACCAATTGGAAGTGGATTTCAGCCGAACTTCGAACGCCCAACTGTGGATTTCGCCCAGTCCACCGAGTCTGCATTCAAGGCGCTGAAACCTCATTTTTCGATGACACAAAAAGCGAACAGAAACGATGCCTGCGAACCGATGCCTGCGGTTCCATGCATGCCCCTGTCAACCGCTCAGTAGTACGAGTCGTTTTGCTGCCAGGACCGGGACCTGCGTGGTCACTGGGAAGGTCCTGGTACGTGAAACACAAATGATCAATTTCATGGTGCACAAGATGCTCAAGACGCTCACCTTTTTCAGATGGACCTGATTCCCTTTCTTGGTCAAGATGCGTTCTTCCGCTCATCAGCGTTGAAAATCGATCCGCATTCCGAACAACTTCGAACCATCCTCACCACCTTCCAGCCATCCGTCTTCAAGCGATTGGCGCATGGCCGGTCTGAGCGTTATGCTGAGGTTAAATTGATCATGTTGACTGATGAATCCACCGAACCCCAAAATATGGAGAGGGTCAAACCAGTTCTTCATCGTCGCGGAAGACGTCGCAGCCAACGACCGGTCGAGTCCGACCCGAGCCGAGTCGAGTACCTAGTCTGGTCTGGTCGAGTTGAAGCCACACTTAAAGTCTGAGGCTCAATCTCGGCTTTTGTGCATTGCAATCAGAAATGACCAAGGATCACGGGATCACGTGCCTGCAGTATCAACTCCAACGAGATCTTCCAAACCGAAGAACATGCATTTGGAGATATTTGGAGCTAGTATTTGTGAGCCCCTCATTCCTCATACTTTCGTATTGCAATGCATCCTAGCTCGCCGCGCTCTCCTAGCTCTGAGCACGCTTTTCACTGTAATCCTTCACCCATGAAACCGCGCTGCTGAGACCTGAGGCGTTTCATCCGGCGTCGCTCGATGTCGGGCTGCGGTCGATGTCGAGGGTCTGGTCCTTGGGTGGAGCCTGGAACAGAAGCTGCATGTTTGGGGTTTGGGGTGAACCACGCCCGTCTGCACCTTTCGTAGTGAGACGATGACCTTTCGTACGAATTTCGCGGCCCCTGGCAGACTGGGAGTCTGGTTCGAGGGCAGTTGATCCTGGGGCCCAAGTGCTCACGGAGTGGTCACATCTTCCCGGGATTGGGGACCCTGAGCTTGGAAGATGTTAGGAACTGGGGAATATATGGGAATGTACCAAAACCTTGCTGGCTTCATTGCTTCATCCATCTGGGCCTCTGGCTGCTGCGTGAGAGGGCTCGATAAAGGATGCCTGGCACCTGGCTGCGCATCATGCAGAAACTCGAGGAAACCTGTCCGGCTGTCCGAATGAAAAGATCTGCGCTTTGCATCCAAGCTGGGTTCGAAACCTCTTCTCTTCATGAACATCAATGAACAACTGGCCGAGGTCTGGTCCTTTTCCACCGCAGTCTTGGGTCTGATTTCCAGTCCCCTCACGGAGGTACCGGGGGCCCGGACTCGATACCTGAGCCTCATATCGATCTGGTAGAAGACACGTGACCTGGTGCGACCGCCCCACGGCCGCGATCTGAAACGACGTGACGAAAGGTGCTGACGAAACGTGCTTCAGAGAGAGAGAGAGAGAGAGATTCAGGCATGGAAACTGGCACTCTGTGTTGCACCAAAGGCGGACAGAACAACATGTTGTTGATGTTAATTCTTTCTAGCTCTTGAAATCAGTCCCTGCCCAAGGCATAGAAGGAATGCAGTTGATTCTTTTCGCTGGGGGAGCTGCGCTCTTTGCTGCATTGGAATCAAAAACGTATCTTTTGGCTCAAGCCTGACATGTTAAATAACGTCAACTAGTGTTGCTTTAATGAGAGAAGCGATCATGCTTGGAGTATCCAATTCATGGGTGAATCCCTGGGAGTCTTTACTCCCTGGAAATTGGAAATCCGCTTTCGGCATCCTCTTCTCCCCCACCTGGGCATCAAATGAATTCAGTCTCCAGCCTGGTGACCTACCGAGATCCTGGAACTAAGTCTCCCGCCAACCTTCCTTTGTCGGATGTGGCGCCACATACCTCTGTCGGTTCCAACCGCTCGCGCCAGCCACTCACTGCAGTTGGGACTCCAAGCTTTGACCAAACGTTCCATCTACGCTTTCCAGTGGTCGAATCAGGAACGCCAAGCTCTGGAACGCCAAGCCCCCCAAAATATATCTTATGTCATTGACCATGTGTGAAAAACCCTGTGATTTGTCCCCCACGCTCCACGCCGACCCACCCGCGCACCCTCCGGCTCGAACACACCCGGCAAAACAGGAGCCGGGTACACACCACGGCGGAGCCGGCACCGGGTCGCCAGGTCGAGCGGAGCCGAGCGGAGGTCACCACATGCCCTTGATGTCATCCACATCCGAACGCCGGTCATAGTCTAGAGACCTCGGAGGCGCGAGCCTGCCGGATCGGCGTGAAGAACGAGGTGTGGGCGCCGAGGGCCAAAACGGACCCTCCAAGCAAGGGGATGCAAGGGGGGTATCTATCATCTGAGAGGTTAAGGAGTGTCCCAAAAAAGAACACACACCTCTTGGAAGGTCCTGGTATGATCTAAGTGAGATGAACGTCACAAACCGTCTCAGTGACAGTGCGAACCTGGCTTCTTGTGATTCCCACAACATGTTCTGTCAAACCATGGTAAAAGAAGATTGCGGGAATGTATGTGCACCCAAAAAAGAAAAAAGCTGGAAGGGACAGTCTGCAAGAGAACTGAGAGAACCTCAAACCGACATCCAATCGTCAGTTCTTAGACGAGGACGAAAGCATGACTGCATAACTCAACGACCAGCCCAAACTTCAGTTTCCAAGAGGAGCACAGGCTCCCTTCCTTGCCTCCTCCTTTCTGCCCGTCCTTTCCTGTTCTTCTGTCCGATACCAAAAGACTTGAAAGGCCCATAAAGGCCCATATTAAGACATCCGCCATGATTTCCACGCTTCGACCGCGCGTAGGTCGACCGCAGGTTTGGCACACCAAGTTCCAGGCCAAATCATCGAATGCCCTTTGCGGTCCACCTCGTTCGCGGTGCGACGTTTCGACGCAGCCACGCAGCGCAGCGGCGGGGTCGACGGGACCGTTGGTCACACCGAGTCTCTCTGCGGCGGTTTGAGGTCGCGGACGGTGTGGTCAAAGTAGCAATTGAAGGACCAGCCCGGGATGATGGTCGAGGACATTTCCACCTTGCTTCGACTGTTTCACTGGTGCTCCAGGTGAAACTTGCGCGACTTGAAGTACCGCCGATTCTGGGAGTGCCCGTGCTTTTCACCCAGACATGAGGTGGCGCGAAGACCACGCGCCCTGGACGGCACAGCCCGCTGCGCCTTCACTTGCTCCTTGCCACCTTTTAAACGTTGGGTGCCGTAGACCACGCTTTTGGAACACATCGCTACCTCGGCCATCTGCAAGGTTCAGACGGGTGAAGCATCTTCCACACGTGGTGAAGGAGTCCGAACGGGCCCGCCTTCTTCTTGTAGTTCTTGAAGTCTAGTAGCTCCTCTCTTCCAAAGATGTGAAAAAAGCGGAGCGACATGAAGCTTCGGGCCCTTTACTTGGCAAGCGGACAAAGGTCTGTGGGGGGGAACAGTTCTGAAAGAGAAGAGAGAAGAAGACACTTAGTCCAAGACTTGGATTGGACTCATTCATAACTCCTGGCTTATCTTGGCGTCGAAAAAAAGGGATGAATTTAGGGTCTCGACCGCCTTCCAAACCGAGGAACGAAAAAATCCGAAGCCGTCGTCATCGACTCTTAACGATCTTTCAATCCTCCCCGTTCAGCCCGAGCCCCAGGTTCTAGATGGAAAAGTGGATCCCCACTACGAATCTATTGGACAGTGTGTCTATCTCAAGCCAGGGAACCACTTGTGTTCAAGAGTCCACATGTGGCGCAACTGGCGCCACGCCAGTGGAGCCGCCAGCCCTCAAAAAGCAGCGCTCAGAGAGCGCCCCCTGCTCCTCCATGACCACGTCCGGGGGCGCGGCCATGTCACGAATCGCCAGGCCCTGCGGCCGAAGCAAAAGTTCAACATGGGTCTGGACACTGCCAAAGACTTCCCAAAACAAAACGATGGTACTTGGCCAAGAAGATCCTAAGGATCCAATCCATTGCCCAACCCGGTGACTCGCAGACTGTTTGCTTGCGCGGACTGACTGTGAGGCCTTGCCCCGGGTCGGATCTTCCTCCTGGCGGAGCACCAGCTTGCCATCCTGCCCGACACGCCACCGAGCTCTCGGAGAGCTCGGTGGCATGTCCGAAGGTCGTCCAGGATGGACGTGTCGTTCGGTCGTCGACTGACAAAGAAGAAGCGAAGCTCGACGTGTGAAGAACGAGTTGGTTAGACCTGGTTGACGACCTGAGACTGGCGACTTAAAAAGAAGTTGAGCTGGTTGAGACTGGTCTAAAAATCCCGAAGACATATGGGTTGTTGGGTCTCTTGCAGACGTTTTTCTAACGAATCGCATTGGTTGTTTATGGTTGTCTGGGATTCAGCCATGATTTTTGAGATTATGCAATGGTTCGAATCCTAGAGGGGTGGTGAGAAATGGGATTAGGAGAGCAATAGTTGGGGAAAGATGACGCTCAGCTGCGGCGAAGAGAAGACATGCCCATGTGGAATAAAACATTCTTAACTATGGACCACAGTGGTTACAAGGAAATCTCTTAAACCGTGTCATGCCATCCCTAAAACTGCTTTTGTTGGTGGCTTATGTGGGATCCTCAGTTTCACCCCCATCATCTCATGCCTCAGTGGCTCAGTCTGATCGTGTGGCTCACTCAACTTCGCCTCCAAGGTCTGCTCTTCAGCTGCAGAGAGGGCCTGCACGGGGCGACCCTGTGAACATCGCCGGGACATCGCCGAGACATCGCGTCGATGGAAGCAGGTGGTGGTGGTGGTGGTGGTGTGAAATACAGTCACCATCGTTGACCATTTCGTTCGACCACAACATGTCATGCATACAATCGGAAGGGAACATCGTTCGAGTCGCTTGCATGTGTGCTGCATCCATCCAGGGTGTTGTTAGCCACTGGACAATGTGATCCAACAAATGTTCATGAGAACATGCTGAGGAGGTATTTGAGGTTTGTTCGAAGCACTGCGCATTCGTTTCATCAATTCCCCGCAGAGAATATGCACATCGATTACTATGACGGTTTGATTGGAATCTCTGACGCCTCATGGGGAAGTAGCGATGTTGAGAAACGAAGATCTGTCAGCGGTGGCCTCATTATTTGGCGAGGATGTGTCGTGAAGAGCTTCAGCCGATTGCAAGGATGTGTGACACTGTCTTCGTGTGAAGCGGAAGTCGTGGCGGTGTGTCAAGTTGCACAAGAATGCATTGGGTTAAGACACTTAGTGGAATACCTCGACTCATTCACCGACACGACAGAGCTTCACAAGTTTCAGCAAGAAGGCTTGGCTGCTATGCAGTTTGATCAGATCGGAAGTTCAGGTGTTCGTGAATACTTTCCAGTTCTTTTGTACTCAGATTCTCAATCATGCATAGCTGTCTTGCAGAACCAAGGGCTGTCACGTCGTGTCCGACACATCTCGCTAGCCACCTGTTATGTTCAATCTTTGGTAGAAAACGGACATATGGTTTTAGTATGGATTTTAGGCAAATTCTGTAGCGCAGACCTCCTCACCAAGATCTTGAATCGTGAGTTGACAGAATTTCACAGAGAACAGATTGGCATCTGCGAGATCACTGCACCAGAAACCTGGCAGACCACATGTGGGAAAGAGTTGAAGAAACGATCCAAACAAACGAAAGACGAAAAGGTACCTGAAGAAGATGTTGCTGCCGTACAGCATGATCTAGAGAATAAAAAGGTGATGTTGCCGGAAGAACCATTGTCGACTTTTCCGTATGCCGAAATCGCATCGGTTGGCAGTGGTGAGACCGAGTTTGAGTTGAAGCTGCTGAAGATTATGTCCGACATAGCTGACGGAAAGGTCTCGCATGTGATCGTTGAACTTTGCACTTCAAACGAAGGCGGGTTTTCACAGGTGATTCGAAGAGATTCATATGGATCCTTGCGGATTGTGCCAGTCACCGAGGACGACAATTTGAATGTTGTTCATTTGAAGTTGTGTGATTGGATCGACAAGGTCCTCCGAGACTCTCCAAAGGTCATGCTGATGTGTTGGGCTTCGCCTCCATGTACAGGTGGTTCGCCAGTGATCAATCTGATCCCTGAACCTCGCAGGGCAGAAATTCGAGAGCAGCGCGTGGCAGAATTTGCTTTGTTGATCGAAAGCTCAAGAGGTATCATGATGCGTTGTCACGTTCGATGCCTAGAACTAGCAAAGCCATCTATGTATTGGAAGGATTCCCTGGTTCAGACGTACTGCCATGAGGGAGATTTGAAGCACGTCACCATCATCCAGCGTTGCGCTTACATCCAGAGTGAAGAGGCTCAAGCAAAACATGAGTTTAAAGTCGCTAGCAATTGCATGCTGTTTGATCCCAAGAGCTGTCAATGCAATACCCATTTGCACGCACTAGGAGTATATCCTTTGAAGCTAGTTCAGAAATTGGCCTCTTGGCAGTCTCTCCCAGAGTGAAGGCTAAAGGGGTGTGAAGGTAGAATTCGATAGATTCTCGAGATTAATGAATAGCATAAGCATACATAATTCCATAAACTTGGATACAATTTGTTCTTGCATGACGAAAGTCATTTGAATGAACTTTCGAGTCCTTTTGTAACCACTTGACTAGTATCTTGCCATGTCATCGAAGCCGCGAATCACTATTTCGGTCGACTCTCCTGCCAAAGAAGTGAGTGTCACGGTGACAGTGAAGGAGACTGATGCTGGTGAAGAGCGGTTGGAATCCATGGCAGGTTCAAGTGGAGATAGATTGGCCGTGAAGGCCGGTAGAAAGAATTCGAAGAAAGTTGACAAGTCTGAGGGATATGGTAAAGCATCGCAGTCTGGCCATGAGGTTGCAAAGAGCTTGGATCATGAGATGTCAGCTGCTCGAGATCATCATGATGATGGAAAGGAGTTGGATGGTTGGGAAGAGGTGCTGGGTGAAGAATCGGATCCTCATCCTCCGTCGTACTCTCCTCCTGTGGTTGAGCCGCCATCCAGTGCATCCTATGCCACTAGCTCTCCGAGTCCGGCCCGTGAAGGATTTGGTGTCGGCGAGATCTTTTTGTGATGACTCGAAAGACTGGCGAACGATTGCACCGAGCTTCGTGTTCCTTGCTTAAGCACCATAAGGACACACAACTGGTCAAGCGAGGCCTTTGTGACCCCTGTCTTCGAGAAGGGATTCGGGGCCATGACCACCTCATGGCATTTTCGTTCGAGCACAATAGCTGCTTCCACTCCTATGATAGCTTGTGCTTGTCAGCAATCGATGTAAATCGAAAGCTGCGCCTTTGTAAGCAGTGCTGCTACATCCCATAGACCGAAATGATGTTCCTTGAAGTTGAATGAAAACAACTTGGATGGATTGATACAATCCTACCGGAATAGATGAACACCTTTCGTTAGGAGATGTAAACATGCCATGTTTTGTTCGTGCGGGGGTGTGAAATACAGTCACCATCGTTGACCATTTCGTTCGACCACAACATGTCATGCATACAATCGGAAGGGAACATCGTTCGAGTCGCTTGCATGTGTGCTGCATCCATCCAGGGTGTTTTTGGCCGGCTTTTGAAGGGATGACACGCGCAAATCCGAAGTGTTGCATCCCAGCTTCCTCGAGAGCACAAATCGAGAAAGTGTACCAAGTTCGTCGAAGCCGAGCCTTGCCATGACGGACTCAACAATCGGTGCAGTCAGCCCAAGCTGTCGGCATCCTTTAGCTTACAGTGCGCGTTCGTAAGAACCCATTGAGTGCAGCCAACCCTAGTTGGGGGCCTCAAATCCGTTCGTCATTGGCTCAAGGCTCAAGTCCGTGCGAGAAAAACGCGCGCGGGCGCCGGGGCGGTGGGCGAATCGGACGATCGCGTCCGAGGGTTCGCGATAGGTTTGAGGTCTCATTCAATTTTGTTCAAGGTTCACGTTCTTTTTGGGGAACAGTTCACGAGAGTTTTAACTTTCATAGGTGGTGGTGGTGGTGGTGGTGGTGGTGGTGGTGGTGGTGGTAAAAACCATGGTTGTTCGCAAGAGGCTATTGAATCGATGGTGGGCCAGGAACCCTAGGGATTTCCGAAGTCATTCAGTCCAGTCGGGTCGCCAGACGCCCGCGGTTTACTCCTGCTTCGTCGCGCTTACGAGTGGAAGGGGTGGAGGTGCATCTCTCATCAGTCTGGACTTTTTCTGTCGAGGAGCCCAGAAATACGGACTATTCCCCAGGAGGGGATGGACCCACAGGGAAAGTACAAGATCACCCGGAGGCAAAACCAAGTTTTTTGGGGCCGCGGTCTGAGCATGGAAGATCGGAAACTCAACCCTGGAAATGAAAAGAGCAAGCTGAGGGATGAGTCAATTACTAAATTAGCACAGAAGGTTGTGTTTGCTCTCTGAAACACAAGGACAGAATGTTGCGATTCCAACCCAGACTTTGTCACCCTTTGCTTTGCGGTGGCTTCAAAAGAACATCCTAAAGCATGCAGAGCACGGACTGTGCTGGTCCTCTACCTTTAACTGGAGGCCCTCCCGTTCTGGTCTGGCCTTGAGATTCTCAATGGGTCCCAGCTTGAAGGCCGGCAAAGTACCCTGGCAGACCATCGTCTTCCAAAAAGAGATCTATTAGGAACAAGGACACTACTAGGGGCTCCTGGCCTTACTACTAGGAGCAAGAAGGAACAAATTCAACAAAAAAAGACTGGCAGGTGACTGGAGTGGAGTGACTGGAGTGACTGGCTTGTGATCAAGATGAGCAGCCAAAGAAAGTCCCATTCGCTGTGAAGTCACCTATCGACCCGAGGGCTTAGGGCGTTCTGGGCACTCTGACCGCGCAAGTCTATTCAAGTACACCTGGCTCTTAGGTGTCCAATGGCGTTCAGTGCTGCCCCAAACGCAGCGTTCACTATCTAATTGAGTTGTGACACCCACTGAAGTATGAGCGAGTCGGAGCTTGGAAGAGCTGTGGTGTATTGGAGAAGCTACTGAGGCAGCCTCAGTCCGTTTCTCAGTGCAAGAAAAAAGAGATCATGTGGGGTTTTCCCTCCGCCGTTTGTTCATTCATCGTCACGAAGACATCGAGAATCGGCGAAGGAAGACGCTGAAAAACTCGCTGAAACCGGACATCGCCCAGGGCGAAGCATCGCTAGAAGACGCGCTGATCCGGTGCTGGATCGGGTTGCAAGAAAAGCGCCCACCCTGTTGCCAAAGTTTAAAGGGGGGCGATCCATGGAGGTTAGGGGTGCCCAGTACCCACTCACTGGATGGGACTAAACACCACCCCTTTTGACCGCTGGCATATTATAAATACATATGCTGGAAAACATGCGTGCACCGGCAGGTCACCGTCACTGTGGTGGAAAACAACATTGTCCTTCTTGTGTTTCCAAGACTTGATTGAAGTGGTAGACAAATTATCTTGGGTTCACAAATGGCTCCGAGAAAACAAAAAAAAACGCACTGAAGGAAACCCTTTGGGCCATTGGGCGTCTGGTATTTCTTTTTTGTAGGTCCCCCAACCAACCACAGGCTTATCTGGCTTGAAGCTATCCTGCAGTTCCAAGCCCGACCTCACCTCGACCTCACAGTCGCCGGGACCGCCGCGTCCTTCACCGGACGCGTCGCTGGGCTTCACTGGGCGTCCTGACACGATGTCCCTGCGCTGGAGCACCCGCCTCGACCGGAACCTCCTGCGGTCGAGGGAAGGATCTGCTCCTTCTGCAATGACGAGAGGAAGGAGGATGGCGAGAGGTCCTAAAGGGACTCAGAGTGGATAAGGGGTCAGTCCCTGATGCCGGCCCTGCCATGCCAGTTCCTACCAGGTCCTCGCCGTTTCAGCCAACCAGGCCCTGCTCCTTCCGAATGGCTCTGTCTTGCTTCGACCCGGGTGGCCTGTCTTGCTTGGACCCCCTCGCCGTGGTGCCCAGCCTCCTGAGGGGCTGATGAGACCTGAGGCAAAAAAGGTCTCAACCGATGTAGACGTAGTGAGGACGTGAACGACAAAAGTGACACAGGCGCCTCGGAGAAACACCGTTTCTTCATGATAAACACCCTCAATTCGACTCAGTCCTGATTTTGTTTTGAGTTGGTATTGCAGATGAGTGGATGATGACGAAAACAGGTTGCAGGTCGGCCTTTCTCGAGTTAATCATCGTTTTGCAGGTCTGCTAGACTGAAACCTGCACACTGCTAATGGGAGACGGATACGTTGTCTGATATATGATGATTCTGGTATTATTGAATCTGAATCTTATGGTCAAATTGTGGATTCTTGTTGCTTCTTACACTAGATGCCTGCCTGCCAAATGATGCCCAGTGCCAGAAGTCCTATCACCAGCGCCACACATAGCCTGCAAGCGTCCCAGACACGTCTACGTGCAGAATCGCATGTTCAAGGATGGCCCCAAATGCTTTGTCCACACGCCTTTTAGATTGCAATTAAAATGCAGAAGTGCCAAGGCTGGCCCACGACCCACCAGTGCGTGCCAAGCAGTTCAGCGAATTCCAAGAAACTCGTTGAGAGGAGTCGGAGGGATTTCCGAGAAAACCCAAGGGCCTAGTTCAAGCGATGTGCTTCAGAGGCAGAATCCAAATCCAAACTGACACCTGTGTTCTTGCAGGTCCCAACACCACTGGTCCGATGCTCTTGCAACTCCACGCAGCCCCGGTCCAACGACCAGTTCCGGTGGACGTCCGGCCTCGCTGCCGAGGATTTGCACCGTGCCCTCGGAGCCGGGGCAGGTCTTCGGGTGGACGCAGCGAGTTTGATTAGGTTGCAGGGGAAAGAATAGATCGAATGTGTTGGGTTTGGGCACCCAATCCCTCAAAACGCCATCCAGTGGACCCTCGTCGAAGATCTTCAAAGCAGGATGGTGACCACAACTTCTGAGTGCACTGCATGGTGACCACAGAGTGCTGAGGATTTGGGAAGCAAACTGTCTGCGCATGTAACCTTGTGTTACTTCTTTAACTGATGCAAAGCTAAGTCTCATCATTGCCAGTGCAATCTACTGAGCCTGCTTGTAAGAGACCATGAAGCTTCCCAAACTCGGTACTTGATCCAAGAACCTTTGTGAAATTTGGGCCAAAATGCCTATGCACAAAAACCAGCATAGGGCAAGATGTGTCTGGCAGTGTCCCATCTGCGCTTCGCTGCTTTTGCGCATCTGCCGTCCCACCATGCGACCTTTTTGACGATGAGGATCGGCCATCAGCCTCCATGGTGGGCAAACTGTCCAAAGGAGAAGCATGAGGGTCTGACGGCACATGCCCCTGCTTTCAGGGCCCACAGGCGCCAAAAGGAAGTCGCCGTTTCGATAGACGTTTCGGAATGCCAGGCAGTGCCGCGCAGGACAAACGCGCAGCCCGACAACATCATACAACATGATACGGTCCAACCTTCTTTGGAGCCACGAGACATTGAAGACTTTCTTGTTCGCTAGCCGCTTTCCCGTGAGATCCGGGTGTCAAACGCCACAGACCCCACTTCCTCTCTGAGCAGTCGATGCTCTGTACAGAGGGCCCACGAAGGCCGCGGACACCGACCAGCTGAGTGTTTTCGATCATGGTAGTGCCTTCTGGAAAGATGGCAGCACTCCAGGCAAAATAATTGCATTTCAAGGAATATGCAAAACAAACAAAAGCAACGACGAGAACAACAATAACACGGGTATTCTGAATTCTTGTTTCCTCACTTCAAAAATGTTCACCTTTGGTATGGGTAATTGAATAAGTTCGGGCTTTTCATGTTGGCAGTGGCACAAAGCCTCTCAAAGTCACTGGATCGGGCGTCCGCAAAACACACCGAGCCAAGTCCTCTGGACTTGGGTCAATCCGAATCGTCGTCCTCGTAGCCGAGCTTCTGGCGAAGACCCCTGGAATCAACATCAAGCATCGAAACAGTTTGAAAGGAAACATGATCGCCCAGCAGTTTCAAAGAAATGCTTTTGAGTCCCATTCAAGGGGCCGTGGGTGTGACAGGGGCACCCGGACTTCCTTCCTTCGTTCGACACTGGATTTGACATGATGAGTCGATCGCCGAGCGCAGGATGATCCTCCTGATCCTCTAAAGCTCAGTCCGAACCTGCTCCGTCGTTTCACCCTGCACCATCCACCCAAGTCTCGGGCTTCGGTGCGTGCTTGATCATCGAATCCACCTGGATTCGATCGCGCTCATCGAGCTGCTTCGATCGATCCCGGAATCCCGGAACGCCGATGAAAAACGTCGATCGTCGTTTCAAGGCCGCCGAGGTCATGGGGCCCTGGTCTTCTTCCAAACCCATGGCCGCCAGACTCTGGACCGGCCTAGAAAAGCCCCAAAAAGGTTGCACACTTCTATTCACTCTTGGCACTCAGTTGACGCGACGAGCTAAGACTTGACGGGCGAGATCCTGACCACTGTAATAACAAAGGGCACGATCCAATCAGATACACAGCTCCACAGCTCGTGCTCGCTCCGCGCTCGCTCGGTCCGTGCTCGGGTCCGCTCGGGTCCAGGCTCCGGCGCCAATCCTCGCGAGTCGCATCACCCAGCCTCGCCATGGAGAGTCCGGGTGTGACCGCCATGGGTGTGACCGGAGGCATCAAGATACATCGTAAATGTTGGTTGGAGGCATCAAGCTACTGTGTCAAAAGGTCTAGGCTTTGCCAGTCGCAGGCCTGGAATGCCGCCAACACCCATGCGCCTGGCATGACAGGAACGCTGTTCCCGCTGTCAGGAACGTCCAAACAAAATTCACTGACGGTGCAGGAAGTCACTGACGGGGCCCTCCTTGTGAAGTCATCTGCAAAATGACAGCAGTTCCGCCGCAGGAGGTCGTAGTCATCACCCGGATACTCCTGAACCAACGGTGGTGGCTCACAGGAGGCCTCTCACAGGACCCCACCATCGTAACGAACGTGGCAACAAGAAGCTACGAACGTAGCTCCTGGCATTGCTACGAACGGAACAAAGGGCATCGCTACGAACGTAGCAAGAAGCTAGTAGGTTGGAGGCCATGGAACAAGAAGCTACTAGTAGCAAAGGGCATTACTATCAGTAGCAAGAAGCTAGTAGTAGCGATGCATTTGTGACGGGATTGCCATCTCAATGCACATGTGGAAAGACATATCCACTACAACCCGTTGGTTTGTTAGGCCTCAGTGTTTGAGCCGCGCCAACTCCACCGTTTGTTTCAGGAGCAGCTCCTCCAGCATGTGCTGGATGATCTCCGTGACCTCTTCCTCGCTTGGCTCCAAGTTGAACAATTGTGTCTCCCATGAAAAACTCGTCATCTCAAAACCAACACAGGTGGTTCAGAACCCAAACCTTCGACTCTCCCAGTTGGGTACCCCAGGTAGTTCCGGGTCCAAGTTCACGTCACTCATATAATCTCTCTTTGAAGACCAAAAGACAAAAGCAGATTTCTCGGATCCCAAGATATCAGCTGTTCCATCCCTGTTCCATGACTGCTGGTCCGGACTACGCAAGCTCGTCCGTTGAACGCCTTCCTTTGGGCGCGGCCCTCAACGCCGGTGATGCCCACGGCATCGAAGACGAAACAGGGATGCCAAATCACTTCACTCCACCGGGGTGCACTTCATGTTGACTCGGAGTGAACTTCAGGTTGACTCCCGTGCGACTGCCGTCCGACGGCCGTCCGTCCCTGAGGTCTCCGCAGGCGCACATCGCGTGTAGCCCATGTCGACCTTCGTTGTCGCGTAGAGCGGCTCGCTCGTTCAGTTGAGCTTCGTTCGACCGCGTTTTGCACTGGACAAGCTGATGACATCTGCAGAGTGGACTGAGGATGAAAAGGGGTTCTCGTCTGCTAAGAGGTCTAGAGGTCTTGAACCCTGATTCCTATTCAAAGAAGGAGGTTTGACCTCCGCTACACTTCAGCTACACTTCAGCTGCGCTGAAGTCGCTGCGCTTATCGGCTGCGCTTCTCGGCCGGGCCATCTGTCGGCCGGGCCGTCTGTCGGTAGTGATGAGCTGGATGGGCTTTGGGCTCAACGCAGCAGACTCCCGGATGCGTCCTGAAGCGAAGAAGATCCAGGAACATCAAGCGGGACCTGCCGGGGTGGTTTCTCGGCGCTACTTTCCGGTTCCACTGTGAAAATGTGGGAAAGACTTGGTGAAACCGAGTGACCAATCCGTAAAAGAATGGCTCCTCTGGATGACCGGCCCATTGTGGTCTCATGGCGACCGGGCACCGGGAGAACCAGGACACCCCCGAGAGATGGCCATGTCTCAAACAGGTTCGCCCTTTCCGAGGTGAACGAGGTGAACGAGCCCATGGATTCGGGTCCGGCCAACAGAAAGTTCAACTGCCGAGAAAAGCGAACAGACTCAGGCAAACAGAGATTGCTAGCTAGCTAGCTAGTTTGGTTCAAGCCTATATATTTCTGTTGGGTGGATCCTCTTTGGAAACTGGAGGCTCCGTTGATGGTAGGGGTGAGGTCTGTTGAGGTCGACGTGCAACGGTCCATGGATGTGGCGCAGGGTCCATGGCGGAGAACTTTGGGTTTTTTCGCGCCGATGATTTTCGGGACAAAGATGCATCCGTCTTTGGAGATCAAAGAACCTAAAAGGTCATCTGGGTCCCAGATCTGGCTTGTATCGGCAACACCGGCAACACCCAGTTCGGGTGGTGATTGGATGGAAAATACACAGATCAGAAGGGTCCTGGTAGGGCTTCTTCCACTCCCCTACAACCCTGCCATTTTGCCCACTGTACCACTGTAGGATTCCCCGAAACCCATCGCTGTCGTTGCGCTCGCAAAACTCGCTCTCTCTCGCTGACAAGGCACTTGCTACCGGAAAACCCGAAGCACCACTCCATGCCATTGACCTCTCCACGTCCACGACGTCCCGCCGTCTCACGCCGTCGTCCGTGCAGCGCGGGCATCGAAAACCGGGGTCGGAAGTTCGGGTTCGGCATCACGTCTTCATTCACCGCCGCGAACCTCGACGCCGGCATGGAAAACCCCACCGAACTTCAGCGGGAAGTGCTTGTAGGCCAAGACCTCACAAGTGGTTGGATCATGTTGGATCATCACATTCGTCTTGTTTCATGTTTTATCGCATCGCATGAAAAATGCCATGCTATAGGCATGCAAGTGAGGCGAGCAAATGCCGGCCTTATTCAGCTTTTGGATCGAATCCTCCTGTGTGTCCAGCAAACTCCAATGTGAACAAAACATGTCTGGCAGTGTTCATGTGAAAACCCTTCTGGAAAAATGCATTTGTCCCCCGCTTTGCCCACCTCTGCTGGGTCTACTTGGGCTCTGCTGCTGGCTCGTCTCCTTTTGTCACGTGGAATGAAGCTTTGTATCATTTTGTATCCAGGTCCAGGTGCCGCTGGGGCAGTGGATTTGAGAGGAAAGATCATGCGCCAACCGCCACATTGGCACGGGGCAGTCCAGGTGGACTTCGAACAGCCTTGCGGTTCGTCAAACAGAGGGAAAGGACTGTTAGAAGGTTCTTGTCTGCTTCTTTCACTCATCACTTGAGTCAGTTGCCTCTGAAAAAGGGTGACTCTTCTTGCTTGTCTCATGTTGTCTTCTGGCTACAGGCAAGTTTCCATCGTCCAAGTCGTCCTCACTTCCGGGTCGATTTGCTCACGAGGGGGCACAGTACGCGATTGTAACATTTGCAGTTGGATGAGGTGTGATCAGGCATGTAGCTTCCGGCTGGGCTTTCTCCCATGTCCCACCTTCCAGGTCCGGAGGCTCCATTGTCCGTGTTGTTTCATTCTAGGAGCAAGAAGCTACGAACGTAGCTCCTGGCCTTACTACTAACAAGAAGCTACTAGGAACCAAGGGCATCGCCAAAGGCGATTCGCAGGGTCCAACGGTCTTTGGGTGCTATTCGCGAAGCCGTTCCAAATGGCTTCCCCCTCTTCCTCAGGTCCTCTTCTTGGCTGTTGGGCTGCTATTGCTCTGGGCTGCCCAAAACCTTGTATAAT